AAGTGTGAAACAAAAGCAATACGGAAACACGTGAAACATACCTCCTGTATTGACGAGCGCTGAGGCAACATGCACTTTCTTCCTGTATGCCCTGTCTAGTGAATGTTCCTTCTTAGCCTAGGAACTGTGTTCAATAATTACCCCAGCTTTATGGCAAGTAAGCACTAGCTTGTACTCTGCACTTGGTTGGCAAATTGATTTTGAAGGAAGTTGGAGCTCGAAACGTAGTATTGATGCCACAACTGAGATCATAGTTTACAATGCACCTTGGTTTTGGTTTGTTTCAAAGGGTGTATTTTCTCTCAGTAATCCACATAAGGATTGATACTGTCAGTTGTTTCTGCGAGTGAGTCTCGTAAGGCTCTTTAATCCAACATGGGTCCTTCATAAGGAGTGATGAAGACCTAACAACCCCCATTATTTTTCAGTGCGTAACTTGTTGGGCGTGGTTCTAGTGACACACAGATGGCTAATAGCAGTCAGTAATATAAGTAACAGAGTCAAGGTCATGAGCCACCTCAGATTGCTTCAATTCAAAATGTAAATAATTAAGTCACTACTTGCAGAAAACATACCTCCCTCAGTCTCTGCTTTGACTGACATCCAGATTGTGCGCTGACACTTGAGCAACGGATTTCAGGTACATGGCCTATTCACATTCATACCCATTCACATTCATACCCGTTGTGTTTCTGGTGAGATCAGTGTCACCATTGAATTAAGCCCAGCTGATCACACATACAGCTCCATTCAATACTCCAAGCTCAAATATAACCTTCCCACCTTTATCCATTCTGCTTGGAAAAAGTCCTGACTGATTCCAAAATGTACTCTAACGTTGTGAGTGTCTAATTAATGGTCTCCGTAACTCGGTCTCCCCACTTGGCATCTGGTGCTGACACGAATTACCCACACCGCTGAATTCCCCAACTGATCCATTGGCCACTGCTTGCTCTCATCATCACTATCTGGTGTATTGCTTTCATTTCTACGCTGTCTCTAATGCCACCTCTTGATGCAGCACTGAACTGGTTCTCTTCTTGTAACTACATGTGTGCAACTGACAGAAGTGTGTGGAATTTTGTTATGCATGAAAATAAGCTATTTGTATTTACAATGTCGCACAGTACCGCACGACAGTTCGAATGGATGCAAATTACCATAGCAAGACAATGAGACAAAATAGTAATGATTGAAGCGTTTACCAGATAGACTCAGCTGAGTGTGATAGAGAGATATACCACTAGTCTGGTGTCTCTATTCGGTTTGTAGTTGTTGCACTTCCCTTCACCTTGCTTTAATGTATTATGCAACACAACTGACTGTGTCTGTAGTTTTTCCNTTGTATTTACAATGTCGCACAGTACCGCACGACAGTTCGAATGGATGCAAATTGCCATAGCAAGAAAATGAGACAAAATAGTAATGATTGAAGCGTTTACCAGATAGACTCAGCTGAGTGTGATAGAAAGATGTATCACTAGTCTGGTGTCCCTATTCAGTTTGTAGTTGTTGCACTTCCCTTCACCTGGCTTTAATGTATTATGCAACACAACTGACTGTGTCTGTAATTTTTCGCCTTAAGAAAAAATACTGGCTATTGGTAGACACTCTTTTTTTGCAGCAACGCCCTCGTCTTACAACATATACATGATGCTACAGTCTTGCGTTGCTACGTCCTACGTCCCTACATTCCTATAGCTCTACGGTCCTTCCCTCCTCCTGGGGTCACGTAGAGGGTGTTCACTGCGTACAGGAGACACACTCAGCTGCTCCTAGAGACTCATTGCAGGAGAGCATACCAGAGGAGGCTGTCGCATCTTCTGTTGAATTAGAAACAACGCCAAAGCAGGTCTCTCTTGCAGGGTACCTCTTTGGAGGTGTGATAGGGCTACCTTATCATCCCCCAACCTCCACCACAAAAGTCCATAATTTTTTGGACGCCGCCGGAGAGCCGGGACTTGTCGAAATTTTCTCTGCCTTTGACTCCGAAATTGAAACCTGCCCGAGCCTTCTTAGTGTAAAGCTGTAAACTGCTCTATAATCTTCGGTTGCGAGTTGGGGAGGGTTTGTTGCGGAGTTTGTTCGATTATACTCTTAATAAATGTTTTCTTCTATTCAAAAGTGTTTGCAGGACTAGAGTGGTTTGATGATTCGTGTAGCAAGCTACTTACGTAGATAATATTTAATAACGTGGAATGGTNTTAGAAACAACGCCAAAGCAGGTCTCTCTTGCAGGGTACCTCTTTGGAGGTGTGATGGGGCTACCTTATCATCCCCCAACCTCCACCACAAAAGTCCATAATTTTTTGGACGCCGCCTGGAGAGCCGGGACATGTCAAAATTTTTCTTTGCCTCTGACTCCGAAATTGGCACCTGCATGTGCACTCTTACAGTAAAGCTGTAAACTGCTCTTTTGAGGTATACTCTAACTTTCCAATTATTATTTTCTGGCTGTTGTCAAATTCTTTTTTCAAAGTTAGTCTTTGTTGTACAATATATTTGACTCATTTTGGGGCCAATATTTGAATTCTGCTAAGTAATCTACGAGGTCTCAATTTACTCATATGGGACATAAGGGAGACTATAACCAAAGACAGAGAAATAAAAATAACCTGAATAAGTCCAATGATTCATCGCACCAACACTTCGTTTGTGAACATTAATTTGGAATCAAGACGCACAGGAAAAGGTATCTATATATCCACCTACTCTCCTATGTTAGTGTCGTCAAGGCTCAAAATCACATAGAAAAGATGTTTTCTTTTTCAATCTAGCCACTTTATAATGGAAACTAGACATATTCAGGAAGTAAACCCGTGACACAGCGTCTATTGGATATAAAGTTTAAACAATCCAAGAGTTTTATGATAAAGTACTTTACAGAAACATTTTAAATGTATACCCTGTGTGTCTTGGTTTTGAAATGAATAGAGGGAGGGATGAGGGGAATGCAAATTGAGGATTATAAAGTTATGTTGTTGCTCAACAAGATGCCATTTGAAAGAGGAGTTCGCGATGGAAGTTTTTGAATTTAAGTTTAGCACAACCCAAATAGAGTATCCAAACTCAAATTTGCCCAGTTATTCATGCAAACATACTTTGGTTGTATCTTGAGGCACTGATTTAAAATATTACCACTTACTGGTCCAAAAGTTTCCAAAAGAACGGTGCTATTAATTGCCGAGCTTACCTTATTTGGTAATTGCAATTAAACGATATGATGTAGTTTTAGACAACAATAATGAAGTATTTAATGTTTTTGGTTTGTCTCCAGAGATTTGGAAGTAAATGGTCGCCAAAGGCCATTACACAAGATGGTTGAGAAGAAAGGGTCGGAAACAACGCAAAATCTTGAACCAGTGAGTTACGTTTACAACGGACAACATAGAAAACAAGGACAAGCATGTTTTAACCACCAATTTAAGGATAAATTGACCACTATTTATAGTGCAATTTTGGTTTTGAGAGACAAATTAGGCATGATGGGGAATATGTAGACTACAACCTGTTTCTACATTGGATATTTAGTATTTGAGTTTCTTGGTTCGTTGGTTCTTCAAAGATTCCCAGTTACCAGAGTAGTAAGCGTATTTATTGTCATTTGGGGAATGGTTCTTGCATTATGCTCGGTTCCAGACTACGCTGGGTTTATTGTCTTGAGGATAATACTGGGCATGATAGAGCTGACGGTTACTCCTGTATTTACTATAATTACTTTCTAATGGTACAAAAAAGAAGAGCAGTACTTGAGGACCACCTGGTGGTTTGCCTCTAATGGTATTTGGTACCGATCTTGGTAGCTTAATTGCAGATGTAGTATACAATAACCAAGACTCGTATACGTTTCCGGCTTGTAAGTTGGTGTTTGTCGTTACAGGTGTTTTAACGGCATTTTACTGTTTTGTCATTATACTTCACGTCCCTGACACCCCAACCGGCGCGTGGCTATCTTACAGAAGAGGAAAAGGTGTTGGTCGTCGAAAGGATTAAATCCAACCTACAAGGGTTTGGTAACCCAAGGTTCAATAAGGACTAATGCATCGAAGCTTCGACAGATCACCGTACCTGGTTGTTTTTTATTTTCTCCATAGCGAGTTGCATTCCCCATGGCGGTATTACAACATTCTGGACCATTTTGCTTAATGAACAATTTGGTTTTGACACTGCAACTGTAACTGCTATTGGGAGCAGTTGTTTTGGTTGGGTGCTATTTTGTGTGCATTGTTACTGAAGTTCCTCAAGTCGCGCATAATCATGACAATCATTGTTGCAATGATTGATATCATGGGAGAATGTCTTATGGCGTCTGCACCAACTAATAAGGGTAAGCTCTTAGGACTATAGATATAAAACCTTTTTTCTCTTTGTTTTATTTGTCTTCAACCGCAAGTTTCTTCTTCAGTTGCTGGTCATACAAAGAAAATCACGGCCAATACTATGTTTTTGATAAGTTATTGTGTTGGAAATTTGGTTGGTCCACAAACATTCATAGGCAGTCAAGAACCTGAATATGCTGGATGAAAAGTTGGTAGTGTTGTTTGTGGCGTTGTTTGTGGTGTGGTTGCTTTAGTGTGCTTGGTTTGCAATTTACTTGTCTTATACGTAAGAGAGGCGCATCTCTTTACAATTGACGAGATAACGCTGGATGCTTGAGCTTGACAACGTGAGCTTAGCAACAGTCAAAGAGCGAGGTAAATCTCTACAAGAGACCCAGTATAACGGAATACTGCCAAACCCCTATTCGTTTTCAACTATACTAATTAACTAATTGTTTGAGGGAATGGAAATGGAAAAATAGTATTAAACGTAGCATGAAGGAAGGTGTCGCCGGTATTGCTGTATTGTTTGCAATAGAATCCCTAACACAGATGGTGTAGTTTTTCAGATTAGGATTCAACACCAGTCCATATAATAATAGTTCTAGAAAGGGACCACCAAGTAAATGTCTTGCTCGATATGGCCCATTAGCAAAGCCACTTTCGATCAGTCTTGGTACACTATTCCTTAGTCCCTTCCCCGTTGGCCATTTCGGCCACATCCAATACTGTGACCAATTTATTGACTTTTGCATAAAGTTGGTCCAACTCTTGGATTTTATCAACATACTTACGGAATAATTTCGCCTCTCGCTGGAACTTTTGGTCCACTTGTCTTTGCTCTACATCTTCCCGTTCGGCACAATCAAGTTTTTTCCGTAGTTCGGGAAGAACACGGAGCACAATGTCGTCTTCATAATCATGGAGTAACTGAAGCAATTTCTTATTCTTTTCGAGTTTAGATTCACGAAGCATGGCCATGAGTTTGACCTGATCACGCAAGTTCTGTAACCTACCTTCTCTCGACTTGCTTACTGAATGCGGTAGATTGTATTTTTGCTCAATGAGGTAAAACAATGCATCATTGTCGGCAGTGCTCTTCCGATTCGACTCATCGTTCAGGTCGGAAACCGTTTTGGGAAAATGGAAACCACCACAATCGAGGATCTTGCACAATTCAAAAAGGGCTGTTTCGTTGTTTTCAATCTCTGAGTTTAATTGATCAACAGTGCTGATAAGTGGATCTATATTTTCCGTTCTAAGTAGTGGCTGGTACGGGTTTTGGGGATGGTACATGACGAACTGACTATCATGTGCTTTAAATCCCCCTACTACAGAAGGTTTTGTTTTGGTACAATTTTAAGCGAAAATCGTTTGTGTCGCGTCTAACAAAGTTGTTGTGACACAGACAGTTCTTTAAATCAATGTGTTTACCAATATAGGCATGATTCGTTCCATTATAACAGCCACAAGGCACATTATTTTTCACACTGGTAGGTTGAAGAAGTGATGAACCTAGGCCAAGAATTAAGGATAGAACTCAGTGCCACACTTTGGGGACTCACAATCAATCTGTCGGCAGAGGTTATACAAAATCCTACATGACTAAAAAGTGGCAGTAACACTTTACAATAATGGTAATAAAGTGGCTACAATACTCCGAAATGGAGTCCATGCAACAAAATTGAAAGCATTCTTTTTATTAGAAAAAAAAATAAATCACCATGAACTGAACAAAACATAGATACCGCTATTTAACTGAACATTTTCTCCATCCACTCGCTTATCTAGATTGAATTCGCTGTAAATTTTGTGCCGTTTTTCTCTCTTGTTTTCCTTTCTTCATCACTTGCTTCAAAGCTACACTGTCCAATGGGTCCAACAATTCGAAAGAGCACAATAGTTCCTCAGAGACACTCATTACTGCGCCCCAGTTGTCAAACTCCCCACAATAATTGGGAGCAGAAAACACTGTCACCAATGTTCGATCGTTGAAGAATTCATAGCCATCTTCAACAACCATATGGGCCCGGCAAACTAAATCAAATCCAAACTTGCTCAAAAACTTGTTGATTGCCACTTTCGAAAACACATAAGAGACTCCTCTCTCGTTGTCTTCCCATTCGTTAATTGTATCCGCTGGATCTGACCATAATAGATCGTTAAGTAGTCCAAAATCAGGTACATCCGTTGGACGCGCAATGTTTCTTATTTCGTCCATGGAGTTGAGCACTGGCGATAACCCTCCGTGCACGCAGAAAATCTTCCCCGCAACTATTGCTGCTATTGGTAGAGTGTTGAATGTGTCCATGAAGAGCTTCCACGTTTTGATATTACACCTTCTTTTACACTCGTCATAAAACCCGTAAACTCTTGTTACACTAGCACACTCATGGTTACCTCTCAACAAGAAGAAATTCTCCGGATACTTGATCTTGTAGCATAGCAATAGCAAAATAGTTTCTAAACTTTGTTTTCCTCTATCAACATAATCCCCAAGAAACAAGTAGTTTGTTTGCGGTGGAAAGCCACACTTTGTAAAAATACGAATCAAGTCCCCGTATTGCCCGTGAACATCACCAACTACTTTGACCGGTGGAGAAAGCTCTAGTAGTGACGGCTGGGATAAAAAGATTTCTCTGGCTGTAGCACAGATCAACTGAATCTCGGTGTTTTTCAAGCAAACATTTTTGGTCCTCTTACCACTGTATCCGGCGTCCAAAAGCCGTTGGATCAAGTCTTCTATCTCTATAGTATTACTTCCGCCACCTATTGAAGAAGACGTTGTTGATTGTTTGTGTAAATGGTTGTTCACCGACGATTGTGTCTTTGTAATATCAGTTAAGTCTGTGGCCAGTGATTGTCTGCTACTCTGTATACTTCTGATATCGTCGTTGCTTGCAGACAAGGAAGGTGACTTGGGCGGTTGGGAACCTTGCTGTTGTCCATCTGATTGTTGAAAGTCATTAGATTGCAGATTAGGAATCATCAAATGGGTATTCTGGGGGGATATTGATGTATTATTCATGGAAGATGATAGGGAGTGGTTTGTTGACGTACGTGATATGTTGGTGCCATTATTATTCGCCGATGTCGATTGTGGCGAATTCATTGATGGTGACTCGAGTCCCGACACACTCATCGAAGTGTTTACAGTCTCATTAGTATTCCTTCGAATCAATATTGGCTCTTTGGGTTGTACTTGCATCATAGAAGGAGGTAAATTTGTGTTGTCATTAAAAGAAGTGGAATATAAGTTCGATGAACTGTTGTTTCTTGAAAACGACGGTATCTCTGAATTTGCCTCCGATGATGAATTCTTGCGGGATGTCGACTTCAAAGGTGACTTGAGGCCACTGGGCTGTTCATTCAGAGCCGTGCCATTCCCCGCAGAGTCATTAAATCGACTTTTCGACGGTGATGCTGCAGGAGGGTCGAAATGGCCGCTGCTGCTGTTGCTGCTGCCATTATTTCCATTCGCATGACTGCCAATCGAATTATTAATACCGGTATTACCATTGTTGTTGTCGTTGTTGTTGTTGTGATTATTATTATTATTTGCACTGTTGGTGCTACCCACAGACAACCTCAGTCTCACTGACCTTCCTGACTTTGCTGAATTGGATGTATCTGTCCGCTGCAATGGTGCACCCCCACTTGGTCTCGAACTTTTCTGTTTCGATGAGTTATTACCCATTGTATAGATATATAATGTGTGTCAAAAAGAAAATAAAAATAAGACTTCTATGAAATGCAGTTAATGCTAGTTGTAGAAGGAGGTCGGATTCGGAATTATCGGAGAAATTCTTGTTTAGCCTGTAGAAAGAAACAATCGTTGTTGTGGGGCCTTCTTTGACTCAGATGGATAGGAGCAACTGTCGCTGAATAGAAATGACTCCACCGAGGTATTTTTTTTTGTTAAAAAAAATTTGTGCAAAAAAGAAAAAGAAGCAAGTCAAGACTGTGTTTTTTTGATTTTATCTGGTGACTATATTACACAGTGTAAAGATCCAACAAGACTTGTGTATATATGTGTATATGTATATATGTGTATGTGGGTATGTGTGTATGAGCTTTGTTGATTGGAAATGGTATGCAACATCAAAAGGTGGTTCTTTTTCTTTTTATTTTTATTTTTATTTTTATTTTTCTTTTCTTTTCGTTTGTTTCTTTCTGTCTGTCTCTGGTTTTTTGGCTATTGTATATTGTAATAGTAATTGTATTGTTAAAAGGTTTGTGTTTTCAAATACATTTGTATAATACAGTTTCACTTTTCAAAAGGTTTTTAGCTGAGTAAGAAGTCAGAAGGATAAGTATTGGTATATAAGCAGTCCACTACAACTCTAATACTCCTTTTTAAATGCGCCTGTTCCATCTCTTGTGAACAAGAGAGATTGCGATTGAAAGGGGCGTGTGTGTGTGTGTGATTCCAATTTTTTTTTTCTTTTTGCACCTTCAAATAAAAGCCCTCGGAACGACTTATCGCATGATAATGTATTATCTAGATTGAAGGGGCAAAAAAGGAAAGCCTCTTTTGCATGTAATGTAAATATAAAGATAATATGGAGGATTTTGTAAACCTAAACCACCTAGAGTATACTGTATAGAGAGATAGCACAATGTAAGGCAAGTAGATCAATTAGAATATAGATTTTAACCTCAGCCGCCCCTAAAACCAGATTCTACACTGCCACTCTTTTAGAAATATATTCTAAGCATTTTCATATTCGGTTCCAGTGCTACAAAATCTATGTACCCAAAATCTCGTCTCTGAAATGCTTTTGATAATTTGCCTTTTTGGGTTTAAGCTTCCTGATTTCATCATTCTTTGCAATTTGTTCTGCCCTTTGCGATTGCTTCTCTTGCTTGGTGACTTGGCTCCAAGTTATGCCAGGCGCAAACCTTCTATCTACTACAGCTTGAGTTCGTCTGCCTTCATCTCTTACAGTGAGTGCAAGCGGAATGTTTTGGCGATAGTATCTATGCATCGATCTGTGTCCTAGTCTTGAACCAATTGGTGTAGTTAATTCTACACCCGAAGAATCGATACTTACTAAGGTGTAATTATCATTTATACCTGGGGTTTTTTCCTGTTCCAGTACATCATTTTCATTACTTGTAGCACCTGGGGAACATTCTGTCACATCAAAACCGACATGCTTTTCGATTGGGTTACCGATTTGGTTATCATCCCTTGTTTCTCCCTCTTCCTTCTCCTCCTTCGCCTCCTCCTCCATGAAGTCATAGTACTGTGCTACTTGTTCCCTCTCATCCTTGGTTTCATAAGGCAACTTGCAATGGCCCTTGGAGTATAGGTGCTGTCTAATACTAACCAAACTCTTACCTTGGAAACCACAGACCAAACACTCAAACCTCGAGACTGCATTTCCCAAGTACTCAAGTAAGCCATTCACGTCAACCAAAAACGACCGTTCTGGTATGTACAATCCATGGCTTTTATACATGTGCTTTATGTTTGACTCAACGTCGTGGTTATTTAGCCCGCAATAAAAACAGCTGATGTCCGACGTCTCCTGCACAAGATCAGCTTCCAGAAACTCCAGCTCACTATCTTCATCTGATATTAAATCCTCCAGTTCATGATCAGAATCCGTAGTAGCTTCAGCAGATTCTGTAAAATTTAGTTCAGATCCTGTATAAATAGGCTCAATTTCAACAAAGCTCTCATGGTCGTCTCCAAGTGAAAACTGTGAAAGTTCCGAAGCAACAGATACAGCAGGACTTGTGCTTCTCTCAGCCAATCTGAAGGTATCACTAGGAGTTATTGCTCTGCCTCTTTGATTGTAGATTGATGCTAAACCTCTTTGGCTCTGCTTCCTAGAATTGTTCTTCTTCTTCCGAGTTGCAACGTAAAATCCATATTCATCTTCATTATCCTGTTCGTCGTGTTTTCGAAGTTTTGAGCTTAAAATCTTTTCTGCAAATGTCTCGGAGGAGATTGAAGGCAACTGGGCAACTTTTCTCTTTAAATTATACCGATGCCATTCTGTTTTCATATGTTGTCTTTGTAAATCGGCACTAATAAATCTAACACCACATGTATTACATGTAAATGAACTTGTTGCTGGGTTTGACCCATTAGGTAAGAAACTCATTTGTTAAGTAGTGGTGGTGGTAAGGAGGAGAAAGGAGAATGAGTCAGTAATGAAACAATTTTGATCGCCCGTCGCAGCAATTTAAATGTCAGTAAATCAGTATAGAGCTGTACTTTGTGTGTAGAAGATCAAAAGCATCAAAACTAGTGCCAGTAAAGCAAATTGCACCAGGTACTTCTCCAATAAATGCCGGGCTCTATCTAATGAGACTTACTTTACGACAAACATGCGTGACATTGATGATTCTCTTGACTGTCAATCGCAATTCAAGTGGTAGCGTTTGAAGTGTAAGGTTTTTCATTTTCTCTTTTTTTTTTTTTTTTTTTTTTTTTTGACGATTGGTAAACTCATACATCACAACCACCAGAGATAGCACTACAAGAATGGGAGTGGTCGTCTTTGGTAAATCGATAAAGCATAACTTTCCTGTGCGTATAGGTCTTGCCAAAACGATATTTGGAATTGGGCCCACAACTGCTGCCAAATTGATGGCCAAGATTGGAATCTACCCAAATTGTAAAATGAATCAACTTACAGAGCCACAAATCTTGGATCTTAATAAGGAAATTTCACTGTTGTTAGTGGAGGGTCACTTGAAGCAAAAGATCAACAACGACATCAAAATGAAGAGAGACATTGGTTCGTTTGCCGGTTTTAGACACGCTTGGGGTTTCCCAGTTAGAGGACAGAGGACAAAGACCAACGCCAATACCGCTAGAAGATTGAATAAGTTGGAGAGATTCAGACTTTAACATTGATAGTTGAATAATGTGTGTAGAGGGAGACGGCAAATGTGGAACCATTGTAAATAGCATTTTAATGATTTAATAAATGAGATGAAAAAATTAGCCAAAAGAAAAATGAGTAGAGATACTGCCCGTTTATACAAGATTGGATATAAAGAGACCAGAAAGGAAGGTGTAATTGCTTGCTAGGTTGTAGAGAAAAAATAACAAAAGGGCAAAAAATAATGGTCCCTAGCAGGATCGAACTGCTGATCTTGGCGTTATTAGCACCACGCCTTAACCAACTGGGCCAAGGGACCTGTTTTATAGGTTTGCTATATCAGTGAGGATCCATGAGAATAACTTAGAACTAATGTATACTCTATTTCATGTCACCTCTAACAAGCCCCTCACAACATCTAATATGCACTACTCTATTTTTTCCCCTCTTCCCTGTTTCAAAGTGAATCTTAAGCATTTTTGTAATCTTTTACGGTTGACTATAGGAGTTCAGAGTAGAATCCTAAACAATTCTTTCTCAAGAATGATGAAGGTTAGCTTATAAACCCGAAACCACAACAGCAGTACCCAAATACCAGTTGAATGGCTTCTAAAAATACACCAAAGGCTACATTCGATTCTCTTACGATATAATACAATATGCAAGACCCAGTTGTTTTTCTAAACGGACCATCATCATCCTCTGTGGAATTTGATACAATATAGTCTCCTCTATATACCACGGTGGATACTAAAGTTGTGTGCATTCATTGCGGTGGGTCTTTAGTCTTGTTCGTTTTAAGTTTACTCTATGACCTTGTTGAAGAACAAGTTTAGGTTTCTTTTTCTTTTTTTTTTTAATTTTTTAATTTTTGCAACACTTTCGAGGCAAAGTTCTACCCATGCCTCAAGAATAACACCATAGTAATGATGGTAAAATTTTGCATAGAACTCATCAAATCAAAGTCATACTTATACCCGCCAAAAGTAAGTGCTTTCAAGATAAGATAGAGAGAGATGACGGGGCCAGAGTACTAAAGAATCTTTCATTACCAAATTAGGGTCTTCTTTACTTTCTAAGCCATCCAACAATATGGCCATTCTACCTTACAGTATTGATCCCACAACTTATCCTTACTTTCATTATTTACCTGCTTATGTTTTTATTTATTTACCCTATTGAGTCCGTTATTTACACTTTGTTGGTGGGGCCAATGGGCGTGGTTGCTGCTTGGTATTCCATATACCTGCAGTCAAGTACAATTTCCCAAATAGTGGTGACTATTATTTTACTTCCCCACATTCAAAAAGTTGCCTACGAGGCTGTACTTAGCCGTGAAAGCAAGAACCTGTTTGTGCGGCTATTAAAAGCAAGAAATGGCCATCAGTCGCAATCATTGACGAAAAGGAGCAGAATAAAGAGGTACTTACACGACATTTTGTGGCTCTCAATTTTCCCAGTTCTGTTGCCCAGGATGATTATTTCATGTCTCATTAGCTTGATTCCAATAATTGGTCCCATATTGGTTATATATTTTCGAGCAAGTTCAAAGGGGTTTCAAGCACATAGAAGGTACTTGGCTTTAAAAGGGTATAGCAAAGCAGAGATGAAGCACAACTTCAAAACTAACAAGCCGTCATATATTGCGTTCGGTCTTGCTGCCGTCTTACTTGAGCTGATCCCAGCTTTTAACATCTTACTCATGTTTACCACAACCATTGGGGGCGCATTATGGGCGGTAAACTTGGAAAATAAAGAGAGGCGAGCATTGCATGAGATTGAGGACGAATATATTGTGGAGTCAAACGCACAATTCACCTCCTTCTAAAAGCAAATGTCTATACTTTTAATAAATATATACATTGTCAACGCATCCAAAGCCAGCGGCAACGCCACCTTCATCGCTGGTTTCGAACTTGGACCTCAACAACCAACCCGCATTCTTGTTGCTCTTTATTGCTCCGCTTTGTTCATCAAAAAGTATTGTTCCAAATACACCCAACTCGGATACGATACGTTCATGGAAAACTTGATTATTGCGAAGAATCTTATTCTCAAAGGTTTCTGGAGTGATTAATTCCATTAATATATAGGCACCCCAATCTTTTTTGTCGATTTTGTTTAAAAATTGAGGAATATCTAATTTGTAGATGTTGTTGCCCCCGCCTTCTCTCTGAGGTTTCAATACAAACTTCTCTGGTTCTTGGAATGCTAACTTTGCCGCTTCTTTCCCTTGTTCAGTGTCATCAAACGGAAGTATCCTCACAAACGTAGAAAGAAGAGATTGCAAGTCTTTGTCAGCGATATCTGGAAGAATTTGCTTAATGATGCTCTCGTTGGTCAAGAGCTGTTGAATCTTTTTAGATCCGGACAATTGCGTCAATATTGAGGGACATTTAATGGCTTGCGATTTTTCTAAAAATAACCTTGCATTCCAGGTTTTCTCCGGATCAGAGTCGTAATCACCAGGTCCGTACCCCGAACGGTAGTAAACAACAGATATTTCGTCCATGGTGGATTTGACGTACAACTTGCCACTATTATTCGTAACAACTTCATTGACATCCTCCAAGGTAACCCTGACGGATCTTATACCATGCTCATGAAACAAAGCATACTCAACGATCCTTTGGTCAAAACAATTGCGCTCGTTGGGTTGAATGACAAACAAGATTATTGTATCTGTATTTTCAACCGCTCCATTGTAATGATAGTTTCCATCAGCCAAACCTTGCGCTATATCACTTGCCGATGTTGAAGTCGGGAGCTCATCATTGTCATAATACTTGAAATTGTACTTGTTATCGTATGCCCCGGTGGTGTTTAAAAATGTTTGCAATTGGCCAATTTTTGTTGACAATCCACCAAATGAAACACTAACTGTATTGAATTCAATCTGCTTAATCTGCCGGGTAGAAGAATCAACCATATAATCGGATCTGAATATACCCAACGACAACGGTTGTAAAACCCCTTCTGCAATTGATTTTTGGTATATATCAAATAGTTTTCCTGAAAAATCGGAATCAAACTCAGCTAATCTCTTTAAAATTTCAATCAACCACTCTTTTCTCTTTGTAATTAAGTTTATGTACAACTCATTATATAGCGTTTGTACTTTAGTTGCTTGCTCGAAGCTGGATCTGGGAATTGGTGTCGGAAATAACGTAATTGGCGCCACATTTACTTGGTACGGCTCAAAGTTTGGTGGATACATCACCAACCCATTGGAGAGGGCCCATTGTTGTGTGTTTAGTTTGAGGTCATTCTCTTGATCTTCAGATAGTTGTGGGAATGGTTTCGGCGGCATTGGAAGTGAATATATACCAATGAATGGACCAGTTTTTGTTGCAAACACCAGAATTTCTCCAACTTTTAGTAATCAGTCAAGCGAACAAAATATTGTGGAAATGACGAAATCTGATTGATCATCGCTACCAAGTGAAAAGGAGATAAGAAGAGAATCGCAAATAACACAAATGGACCCAGCAAGGGGAGTGCCACATTTAATCATACACATATCAGAATCAGATGGGTATCTCTCTCCTAATTCGAAGCATTTAGCACATAGCAGAGCAAACAGTGGAATAGTTTTGACTCTATATTACTAAAGCAGCCAATCTTTTTATCCACTGGGACTTTGACTTTACACTTACCAAGCATCAGACAATGATATTGTCCAAATTGTGATCAATAGAGAGCGAAGTTCGGTGTACTTTATGTCCCAGTGACTTAAAGCGACACATGGAACTGTTGATTCCAAGAAACCTCTTCAAAAGGCGCCATATCTCCTCTACACACCAAAAGAAGTCATATCGGTTGTATTTTTTTACCCCAAACATCTTATACATTATTCACCTCATTCAAACTAGACTTTCGGTTGCAAAAAGTTAGTTGTATTTCACAAGAGTTGATACAGGTCACATGACTTTTTTGTGACTGCTTTTTTTTTTTTCTCCTTTCACGCCAAACTACCCAGAGCTGAAAATTTCATCAAAAGACACTCCAATTGAGTAACTAGACACCAACGATAACCATATACTAAAAAGTATGTCAAACATTAGCAAAAATACGCCGAGAAACCAGGAAATAGAGTAGTCGATGGAGAGTTGAGTAATAATTTTGAACAAAATTGGACGGGCGGGAGTTTGAGTATCACAAGTGTTTGAGAAACGACCAAAGTACAGCTTCGAGATGCACACCTTTCTACGTCATGCTCAACATCACTTTGTGATATCCAGTGGAAACATTCCCTAAAGCGTTGAAATACTTCATAGCCTCAATCGCCTGATTACTATCCTCGTTCCGGAAACATACAGGTTGGAGTTTCATTTTACTAACAAAACCCGCATTTTACAGTGAAATACTTAGCTGCATACTTGTTATTAGTCAACGCCGGTAAGACCTCTCCATCAGCAGAAGACATCAAATCCGTCTTGTCAGCCGCTGATGTTGAAATTGAAGAGGAAAAGATTGAAAAATTGCTTTCCGAGTTGGAAGGTAAATCAGTCGAAGAATTAATCGCTGAAGGTAACGAAAAATTATCCAGTGTACCAACCGGTGGAGCTGCCGCTGGTGGAGCTGCTGGTGGAGCCGCTGCTGGTGGAGCCACTGAAGAAGCTGCTGAAGAAGCCGCTGAAGAAGAAAAAGAAGAATCCGATGACGATATGGGATTCGGTTTGTTCGATTAAGCAGGGGGAGAAGATAAAAGAATGAGAAAGAGATGCAGCAATGCTCCGCATTTGACACTTGCTAGAGGTTTGTATTATAGCGAATAAACAAAAGACGTTTTCCTTTGTTGGGATTTATTATCTTCTTGAGTCTAATATGCGAGTGTTTGAAATCAATCTAGTATTCTTCTCTAAATTACAATTCATCAGCAGTAGCTTTCCTTAATCCCATGGGATTACCGAATATTTCATGTCTGGCCGTTAACATAAACCGATCAAAATCAAGATCTTCTTGTGATACGCCATCCCGTTTTTTCTTCTCTTTCCGCAACTCAACTTCTTTACTCAACCATTGTAAGAAGTCCGGCGTTGGTTTTAGCTTCTTATCACTCTTGTGCAAATCAGCTAAATGAGTGAAATAGGCCTTTGCATCTTCACCACGAGTAAACTTTCCCTCAGCTAAAGCCTGTTGAATGAATCTAGACAAGTTGGAATCAGGATCGGTGTCGTCAGTTGTCCTCTTATCATTGCTCTTTCCCCAGATGCTGAGGTCCTCCAAGATGTTAACCACTCTTGTTTTTGCCTCGACACTCAAGGATGGGTAAACATCGACCAATTGATTCAATCCTTTTGGATACTTAAAGGAAAACAATTGTTGTGCCACAGACGGGTCTTGAGCTAATGCTTGAATGATACCAATCTTTCGTTTCTGTATGACATCAGGCGAGCCCCTAATATCTTTCAACAATGAAGTAATGAAATCCCCAACATCAAACCCAGGAACCTTTCCTCTAAGTAAGTTGCTAATAGCACCGGGGTTGTTTCTAAGTGAGGCAGTTATGATGTTGTATACTTTTTCTTCAAGTTGTACATCACCAGTAGTGCTAGCAAGACTTGTCAATTTTTGGAAAAGGGCTCCGTTGCTTGTCAACTGTTCACCGAGTTCAATATCATGCGACAAATCATTGATTGTATCCAAAGCACTTAATAATCGTTCCCTATCTTCGTGTTGATTCAATTTGCCCCGATCATATCCTTCTACCGCTTCCACAGCTGAATTGAAATCAGACAAGTCCTCTTTGTTCACTCTCTGTTTACTCTTCTTGTTGGCGTAAAGGGCGCTGGCTATTTGTTCGTGTCTTAATTTATCCTGGTCGCCATTGTTTGTGACGTCACCATCATCATTGGTTTCTCCCACCACCACAACACCCTCGTCCTTTTCATTATCGTCCAGCTCGTTGGTCATTAGCCTTGCTTCTCGCTCTGAAGTTTCCAAGTTTAATCTCACGTGTAGTCCAGCTGGAATATCTTGGCCAGGTTTTATAACTTGCCAATCGTTTGTAGGAACAAAAATTTTGGGGTAGCAAATGGTTGGATTGTTGGAATCAGGACAGATAAGCTCTTCTTCAACGTCTACTATGGTTGCTGCCCTCAATTGTGTTAGTATAAGTGCTAGGCCTAAGGAAGTTTTAAAGCTCAACAACATTACTTTCGGCCTGGTTAGATGATCCGTGACGGAGGTGGAAATATCATGAACAAAAGGAAAAGTTTAGCCAATGCCGCACTTTATGTACAAAGGCTCTTTTTTTTTTATTCTATCAGTTTCCACACCCCTCCTATTCACGTTTAATGCAACCTTTCACATGCCATGCAGCCAAGGTTAACTTCATAGATGACTCATGTATGAATGAAAGTTGCAATTGCAACACTACAAGTGTGATACTTTCCTAGTCTATAATTCCTTTATATTAAACCTCATAATAGTACATGTTCTACAAACTCTTTACCTTGTGTAAAGCTTGCTCAATATCTTTAAGTAAGTCATCAGTATCCTCGATTCCAACCGACACTCTGACCAAATCATCATACACTCCATTTCCTTCTCTTTCAGCCTTTGGAATACCCCCATGAGTCATAATTGCTGGAACTTCAATCAATGATTCGATACCACCAAGAGATTCAGCCAAAGTGAACAACTTAGTTGATGAAGTAAAGATTGAAGCACCTTTTGCACCACCTTTGATTCTAAACGAAATCATTCCTCCACCCAAACCATCTCTATGTTGGCGTAAAACAACACCGTGCTGTTGATGAGTTTTCAAACCTGGGTAATTAACATGAATAACCGAACCATCTTCGATTCTAGATTGCAAATATTCGGCAATTTTTTGTGCCGATGTAGATGCTTGACGCAATCTTAAATGCAAAGTCTTTAAACCTCTATGAGCCAACCAAGAATCAAATGGAGATGGGATTGATCCAATAGCATTTTGCAAGAATCTAAATCTTTCATGCAAATCAGTATCGTTAGTAGCCAAAACACCCATGACAACATCCGAATGTCCATTGATATATTTAGTAACCGAATGAACAACAACGTCAGCACCAAATTTCAAAGGATTGGAAATATAAGGAGATAAAAATGTGTTGTCTACCACCAATAATACCTTGTTACCGGTTCTGTCCTGATGGTCTTGTAAAATTTGTTTTACTTTGGCAATGTCAGTAACCTTCAAAGTTGGATTCGATGGGGTTTCCAACCACACCAATTTAGTTTCTGGTCTTAAGGAAGTATTCAAGTCGGACTCTAAATCACCAACAAATGTAGCTTCAACCCCGTGATGATTGGCCACTTTAGTGAAGTATCTATGAGTTCCACCATAAACATCACCACCAGAAATAATATGTGATCCAATAGGTAAAGATTGAATGACCAAAGCCGTGGTTGCTGAACCCGAGGATAATGCAATGGCATATTTAGCTGACTCTAAAGAAGCAACAGCAGTTTCAAAGTTGTCTCTGTTGGGGTTAGCTGAACGCGAATATTCGTAAATACCAATTGGCTTGGAAGGTTCTGACTGGCCAAAGGTAGTGGACAAGGAAATGGGTTCAATAACTGCACCAGTGGTAGCATCAATAGGAGCACCAACATGGATGGCTCTAGTTCCAAAAGCAAAATTAGATGATGAGTCAATTGTCATGGCTGATTTGTGTACAAGTGTGTGTGTGTGCTTAGTAATACTATGAGTTCTTTGATAAAAACAAAAAAGTCTAATGAAGGTAGTCGCTTTGATGTGGAAGTGGCTTGAGCTATAATACCTTTAATGTTACAAGATACTTTAAATTGAAGAAAAAGTATAAAGTAAATTGGGAAGAGAAAGTGGTGTGTTTAAAAATGGTTTTTTGTGGATTCGGTAAAATTTTCTGATGAGATGATATATAAACATTTTTTTTGTGTGCGTGTGCGTGTGTGTGTAATGTGTAAAAAGTGTGGTTTAGTTTTTTGTTGTTGCACCACCACAGTTTTTTTTTTAAAAAAAGATTCTTGCACGTGATGTGTGGAAATAGATACATTATGATTACTAATGAGAAAAGAGGAGATAGAGACAGAGAGACAGAGAGACAGAGAGATAGAGGGACAGAGAAGAAGAAAGAAAAGGAAGCAAGCTTGATTATTAAGCACCACATCCCATCCACTACTCTCTTTTAGACTGTAAGATTATTCTCCGAGGCTTGTGTTATGTATAGATCATACTTGGGTTATTGTATTTTATTGTCTACTGTCTATTGTCTATTGTGTGTTGTTCTTTGTTCTACAATAAACTATAAAAACACAAAAGCAGTACATTGTCGCAATTTAGTACAATGCGACAGTGTACAATTCCAAAAATAAAACCATACATTGACATCGACATCACCGTCATCAAAAACGTCCATAGAGTGACAACTTCTTACACAGATCTCAATGAAAACCTATTATAATGATGCTAGCTCGTAAATATATTGCAAAGTAAAAAGTATTGAAAAAACTTTCCAACAAAAAGCTCAGAGCCAAAATCAAACTACTATTGGTCGCTTGCACCATCCACTTTCCATCTAGCCATTGGCAAATGTTATGAAGGAGTAGACTAAGTTTTATCTGCATTGCTCGATATTACTGTTGCTTCTGTGACTACCAATTGAAAGGCAATTTCTCCGCAACAATCTTACAAACAGCCGCCTCAAAAAAACTTTACACTGTGCTGACTCATTGGGAGTCAAGCTCTCCCCCATGTTTCTCACCACGCACATCAACAGCAGATACAACATTTTCCCAATCAGGAAATACATCATACTTTGTACCAAGACTGAGAACTTGTTTACTAGCATGAAGACTAAAGAGTTCAAGTGCCCTCTTGAGGTGGGATGTGGATATCCTCTCCTCATCTTCGCCTGGGTACTTACAATCTAAGCTCATGCTATCTTCAAACTGTTTGTCGTTGACACATTTGGCATCTTCAGATTCATTAATCTCATTGACATCGTTATTTTTGGTCGCAGTGGTGAAGTTCGTGTCCAATACTTTAAAACATTTTTGCATCAGTCCTTTCACAACCGTCCAAGTTCTTCTAAGAAAAGAGAAACCACTGGTTGTTTTATGGTCCAATAGTGGATAATTAGCTACCATAAATGGGCTATTAACATCTTCATCAATTTCGGAAGTGGCACTTGGTGGGGAAAAACCTTCATCAATGTCCAACGCACTTATGTCGCTGGGAACTTCATCATTACTGAAATCAGACCATGCATTAGCGAACTTATCACAAATTCGATGGCGAAGTATATTAGATTTGAGACAAGAATTTGTTGTCAAACTGATGTCGTTACGAAGGTATCCCAAAATTAGCAGTTTTTCATCAATGAGGCCGTAATTATTGGCCCGATTTTGGATATTTGAACTAGCAGCAACTTTTTGCTCAAAATCGTGAGCTTCAGGGACGTTAACAGGATATTCAACAGTAGTAGCAAGTGCGCTTTTTACTAAAGTAAAAGGCGTGGCTTCTGCACCGTTGATAATGGGATTGGCGATGGTGGTATCAATAATACTTTCAAGCGAAGTTGTTACTGAGTATTCACTGTGGGGAGCAGTTGTATATTCTATAGTAGTAATAATGGAACCATCAACAGTGGGCTCAGAAGGACATTCGTCTGAAGTAACAATAGTAGTTGTTTCAGAGACTGTTGGTGGTCTCCCAATAGCATTAGTTATTTGCCTCTCGACAGCATCATTCATTGGCTTCTCAATTGAAATAACAATGGTGGTTGTATCAGCGGTAGAAGGTGCAATATTAACAGAGAAAACAGGTGCATTATTAACAGTGACATTAGGTGAGTCATCATCATTGGCACCAGGAGGACCATCAACTGTACTATCGCTGGAGTTTTTAGCCAAAGGATCAGTTGTGTTTGTAAGAGGAGTAGCAGCTGGATTATCAACAACGGTAGTAGTAGGATTCCCGATAGCGGTGGCAGTTGCGGTTTTGCTTTCGTCACAGTTTGTGGTTTTAGCAGTATCATTAATTGAATTTTCAGCTGATGTAGTAAGCGTGGTTGTATCGGTGGTAGCAATTGTCGTCTCAACACCACTAGTGACAATTGGCGTTGGCGTGTTAGTTGTGCCCACCAACCACGGGAACGAATACTTTGCAACACCCTTTGATTCATGCATCACGGATCTATATTTTCTGTGGAATGACAAAGTTGCGTCTTTGGCAATTTGTATTTTTGAAATTTGGTTGTAAAATAGGTGGCTATTTAAAGGGTTGATTTTGTAACAAATTTCGATATAATTGTAGACAAAGTAAAGATACACAAGGGGCGAGAGGTAAAGGGGAGGTTTTATAAATAAAGCTTGAAATACATTTGACAAAAAGATTGTGTAGCTCACTAAAGAAGATGATCTCAATCACAACAGTAAACAACCAATCTTGGGTAATGAATGTGCGATACTGTTTTTTTTTTTCTTCTTAACTACCACTCTACTACCACAACCCTCCCTCGTCCTAAAATACCACCCCATTGCCCCACTTATACCCCTAAACTAAACTAAACAGAAGGATAGAGATTATGGCTTTAGCTTTCCGATGTATAGAAACATACACACACATTCAATATCATATCATCTTTTCGTAACATATGCACACTACACATAAGATCCACCACCATACGAAGCAACGCAATGTCTGTGGTCGAGAAAACAACACTTCCTAATCACAACCGATAACTAGAGCCAACATTGGGAACTAGTAGATTACACAATGAAGTGGAATACTCTAGGAGTGGACGGGAAGCGAGGATCGGGTCTCAACTAAGAAAAGCATTTACGACTATGCAGGTGAGAGACACTGCTTGTATGACAATCAGCGATAGTTGAAGGTCTCTATTTTTCCAGGCGTTACCAAAACGCTATTATACTTTGTCGTTTACAAATGCTTTACCATTTGATGGATATCCATATTTCTTATGCTTTTTCAGGGAAAAGGAATGGACGAAGACCCATACGTTCAATTTTGCAGTTATTCAGATGATGTCTTTGATGAGAAATGCTAAGAAGACTATAGAGACAAAAAATGGATCTTATACAATCCTCACTATAATGAACGAAAAAGCTGAAATTTGACTGAATGAATTAAAACGACACAATGCTGGTATGTGTACTTCTTTCAACGCGCTCAATGTTACCATTGAGCTTTTGATATACGTTGTACTTGTATAACATTTATGGCACAACGTTAAACTACACTGGGTCTTTTTATTGTAAGAGATGGAATGTGACCTAAGAGGATTTAGCCAAAATGCAAGTGACAGGAGTGATTTAACACAGTTTGAACCTATAAACTGGATGAATTGCGTGGATTGGATGTGTCGACTGGAGATGGTCTTAAACACCGAAGGAATAAATGACACAAAACTAGAACTTCAAAATACGTCGCTACCACTCGGCTTTTCACCCAAACCACAAACGCATAAAAAGGCACAACCAAGAGGGACGACGACAGGAGTGACTGGCAACTATGGCTGATATGGTTCGATAGCGGTTGGAATAGTGATTAAAATGAATCTATCTGGGCCAATTTCGAAAATCCTAATTTTTGCGGTTGTGTCGGTGTTGACAGGAGCTATACATTTATTTTTTACAGCCAAAATTTGGGAATATCAAAAATGTGCTTACCACTTCACAAACCACCTTCCATAAACTGCAACCCCAGATTACAGTTTATTTCATTGAATTCATAAACGTTTCATTACTATTTTCATTAAAAAGCTAACCTACTCCACCATCCACGTTTTGAAATCAATGCAATCCGTTTCATCTGCTTCCAAGATGAAGCCATTACAGCTCAGTTTATCAACATTATTAATCAACGCCACTCCAAGCATTACATCATCACCATCACTCACTTCTACATCACTAACAGCTACTTTGAAGTTTATTAAATGGGAAAGCATTACTTTCATCACACACAGAAAACGGAGACGTCCACAACTTCTCAGATGCTTGTTGAAACCATTCACCAATCTCAGCACCGCCATATTTGCAACAAGTGTCAGCTTCTCAACATGCATCAGTACAATCAGCGGAAAATCAACAATCGTCATTGAGTGATGATCCAGCTGAGTATGTTACCTACCAAGCACTAAATGGCGAGCAAAATCTGAAAATAAAGCATTCCAATCCGTTAATATGCTGTATAATAGGCGAACTAATGAGTGTGCACACATCTGTGACGAACAGGAAAGAGAATTTAGTCAACATGATGACTACGTTGAAAACTAATCATCTTCGTTTCAAGTTCAGTACATTTCGCCANTCCAGCTGAGTATGTCACCTACCAAACACCTAGTGGCGAGCAAAATTTGAAAATACAGCATTCCAACCCGTTAATATGCTGTATAATAGGCGAACTAATGAGTGTGCACACATCTGTGACGAACAGGAAAGAGAATTTAGTCAACATGATGACTACGTTGAAAACTAATCATCTTCGTTTCAAGTTCAGTACATTTCGCCAATTTGCATTTGATTCAATAAAGCTGGTCAGTGAAGTAAACAGAGAGATAAATGACAGCTTAACCCAAGCTGATACTATCGAAGAAATGTTGGACAGCATGGAAATGTTGTGGCTACCCCATAATGAAGCTTTAAGTATGCACGAGACGCGCATTAGTGAGAAACAATTCAATTCACAACNTAAACAGAGAGATAAATGACAGCTTAACCCAAGCTGATACTATCGAAGAAATGTTGGACAGCATGAAAATGTTGTGGCTACCCCATAATGAAGCTTTAAGTATGCACGAGACACGCATTAGTGAGAAACAATTCAATTCACAGCTAAAAGGGTTTTATGAACATCATAAACGAATACTCAATGGACATACCACATATGTAGATGTGATGGATATAACAAGTACGTCAGTCATATTACACATCCACTTGAATCTCATCCTTGACAGACTTCGGTCAAAGAATGACGGAACAATCGGCAGAGAGAAACTAGATACTACTATACAAGTACTTGGTACATACGGGAGAAACGAGACTTTGGAATAGCCCACATTATGGAAGTAATGTGAGAGCGCAATCTTTACTGTTTGCGTTCCTTTCCTGGCCTTCATAACCACTCCTAGTGAAACCAAAAGAATGTACTGGGTGCAGTGACAATATTTATGTTGTCCGTTTCTCCTGCTTGTCGTTTTTTTTCAAACCTGACTTGATCCACTATTTGTGGCATACAATATGATTTACAACCCAGATTAGAAATATTTATTGGCATTGGATGTCGAAGTTTTGAAACATTGAAATCTTGATTGGCGTTGGTTGTTGAGTGTTGAAAGTCTTGCAAAGTTGATTGACATTTACTAGGAATTGGTTGTACTTGTGAATCATGTTGTTTCCTACAAATTCAGTGTTTCACTTGGTAAGTATAAAGAGTTCAGTTAATAGAAAATTTACACCCGTTGGTTATAGTCTAAGTATTCATTTTAATGGTTGTAAATAAACTTCCTGCATTTTTTCCACCAAAGGAGTTTCGAATTGCATTGCTAGTGCTGGCTTGAGGGGTTCAAGATGTCACATTTATGTAACGCTTCTTATTCCTCTTACAGTTGGCCAAACATCCACCCCATATCTTCAAAACGAGATAGGAAGGCCATTGGCATTAGGGTCGAAAGTAAAAGCAATTACAACCGCTCCAAAAAAGAAGACCCTAGAATTGTATTCCTCTGTAAAGTTCCACCATTAAAAACCTCTTTATTCCAGAATCTCATTCAAAAAATTTGGATTATTCTGTAATTTGGCCCTAAATTTATCCCACCAGTTATCAAAAGCCTTTATGGGCACCTTACCCTGTGGATCAATAAAGCTTGCCAAGTAGTTATAGGCATGCCCTACAATTTTGTTGGCCAAGTTTGCTGTTCCGTCAGGACTGTTTGCTGCTGCTGCTTGTTGTTGTTGTTGCTGTTGAGATCGTGGATTTGCAACTAGGGCATTACTACTGGGGTTGTTCAGCTTTGATTGTAGAATAGTCTGCTCGGCTTGTGGAGTTGGTTCAATTGAAATTCCAATATTGATACTTACAGAGTCCGACAAATCAATTGGTTCTCCTCCACCCATTTCCAAGTCCATTCCATCATCTGCTCTTTTCGTTGTAGGGTGTATATTACTGATTTTGTATATTGCTGATGGCTTATCGGGATTGATTCCACCGAGCAACTTAAATTCAGCAGCCCCCGTTGAAGTGTTGCCAGCACCAGCTTCTTGAGGTAACTGGAAATAGACTAATGCAGTAAAATTGTTATCAACGAATGGCGAGTTGGGAAGAATAAAGATGGTAATGTAGGATATGTTGGACGCATTGGGGACATTAATGACAAACTTGGTCTGATCAACTTGCTCTGCCAATATCATTGGTCTTCCCAGACATATAGCTCCAAATATGCTCATATTGATGTAGAACGTAGGTCAATGGATTTGGCAGTCTTATATATTTATTATGGAATAAAGCACAGCTGAGTGTAAGTGCTTGAAATGTAGTGGCTACAGAATGAATACGATTGGTTGCGTGTGTTTGTCAAGTGAATGAGGAGACAGACAAGCAAAGTAAATTGCCAATGACTGATTTGAATTTGACAGAGATTGCGCGATTTGATTTCTTTGCGACAGAGAAGAAGAAGACGAAGAAAAAATTTACGAAAAAAGAGAAGAGAAGAGAAGAGAAGAGAAATACATACATACATACAACTCTTCTTTAACTATACAATTGTGACTTGATATGGTTTAGAGGTGAAAGGATTTACCTTCTATTGATCATATATAGAGACACACACAATAATTGTCACCGGATGGCTAAGCAAGATAATTAGGCCAACTTATGCCTTTGTATCTTGTCCGTAGATGTACTGGGTGGGAAACTATACAAAAAAAGCCCCACCTAAACTTCTAGCATCCCAGAATAACCACGTTGAACATATTTTCCATCTTTCGTGCATTTTCTTTTTACTTTGCAAAAGATGAATATGGAGAAGATACTTCGTTACATTTCAAACTAGTCTATATGGTTTATATGTTACTCTAACATTTCAACTATACTTTTTTAAGCATCGTATTACATTACGTGTATATAGCTACCCAGCTGGTGGCACAACCACCAGCTATCATTATAACTTCCTCAGATCCATCATATAGTACATTTAAATAGTTGAATGTGATGCTTCTTAGACCATCATCAGTCGCATCGTCAATACTACTGCTTAGTCCAATCGCCGTGTTGTTATTCTTCACATCACCACAATTACCATGCTCCCCCCAACCCCAGGCATACACTTTATTTTCCAGCTTCAATAGACCATGCTCGCTTCCAACAACAAACTCAAAGTCACCACTAATCGAACCATAGTCGTATAATTGGCCATGAGTGTTGGTGCCAAACGATTTGATTGTGTGGTGACTTTTAAAATGGATCGAAGACCACATGGCATCAATTAACTCTGCATTTGCTGCCTCCCTTCGCAACTCTTGTACATCAGTATTTGACTTGCCAAACAAATGTAGGCCATCTGATGACAGCAAAACGGTAAACTCTCGACCCAACTCAAACGTAACGATAGGACTAATTTCAAAATCTAGCTCAGTAGGTTGCCAAATCGCCCCTTTCTTTATCAAGCTACCCTCAATATTCCCTAATTGACCCTTTCGACAGTTGCCCCACCCATACAATTTGTTATTCAGTGTTTGAACTATGGTGTGATTGACAGCCGTTTTTAACTTTCTGACCCCAGCATCGAATCGAGTCACTAAATGCGGTTTAGTCGCTTGCAAAACGTGGATGCCTAGACCCAATTCACCCTTCAAGCCTTTCCCACATGCAAACAAGTCATTTCCCTCTGTGAGCAAGAAAGAATAATCCCATCCACATGAAATGTCGATAAATTTATGCTGGATTGATGTCACTCTTTTAAACGCAGCAACAACAGACTCACTTTCGGGATGCCCTGTTTGACCAAACTCATTGTCTCCGCAGCTAAACACATCCCCGTTTTCAAAGAGGATCAATGTGTGATTTCCACCACAAGCAATTTTCCTTGGCTTGTGTTGAATACTGGTTGTGGGTTGCGGTTCTCCTTCAACATGAAAGAGACACGGTCTAAGAGCCCTTTGATCTTCATCATCGTCTTGTCCTAGCTGATAATTTCCATTTGAGCCACATGCTAATACTTGGTACATGAAAGATTGGATGTAATCAACTCTTGTGTGTTAATAGGGATAAGATGCGTATTGTTCATTTTCAAGTATGCGCTACCATCAAAATAGTGAATGAATGAAAAAGCTTTACGGAGTTGTTAATGGCTGTCGTCTATCCAAAGCTAAACGATACTGCTGGATCCAGAGTCGAATAAAGCTTATCGTATGATTACGAACTACGCCCAAAAAAAACCGGGGTACCCGCTAAGGAAAAGCCGCTTTCTAAACTGTGGCTCATCAAAGAAACTACTTCTTATGTAATGTGCGTCTTTTTTTTCTTCTCCCGAGCCGAAATCCACACACACACACACACATACACACAGATTTTGTGATTTAATATGCAACTGCAGCAAAGAGGTATCAACCAATAAAAAACAAAGACAGAATAATTGTTTGGAGTTGTTATTACTTATTACTACGATCTCGGAGTAGTGGATGACAACAACAGCGAACATTTTCTTTCTCTTTTATTGAGAGGAAGCCAAGAGAACAATGGCAAAGTTCTCTCACTCCTATTGTTCTCTTTTGTTCTTTATTGTTTCCTCTTTTTAGAAGAAAAGATAAGCGCCACAGTTTTTCTTTTTTTTTTCTCACTATCTATGTCTTTGTCTTTTTATGTGTATGGAATGTTAGTTAATTAGTAAGTTTTGTTTGGCACCCAAAGTTGTGTGAAATATCGTCATTTCATCATACCCAATTTGTATGGGTGACCACAGTTTCCACATAACATACACACAAACACACACAGAAAGCATACATCATGTCATGTGCAAAGCAAACACATCTAATGCACAGCAGCAAAAGTGACTACTCCTACACCTTCCTACATATATATATATATATATATAAGCATACTTGTCCCTTTCACAGAAGCTTAGCTTGCGATAAACGGCGTATCTTTATAACCTTAACAGTTTTATAACTCAATCATGGCACCAGTGGCAGTTTCAATCGAAGACAAATACGACGCATCTCAATTCCAATCGGCACACCAGGGCAAAACAAAGAAGGGCAGTTTCACTGTAAGTGAAGCAAACAAAAAACAAGCATTATACCCTGAATACTTGCCCACATGGAACCCCAACCAAAAATTCCCACCATATAAGTTTCAGGAGTACCACGATAAGGGTTTGCAAGGTGACAAGAACTACAAGAACTTGTTTCCAGCTGACAAAGACTATCAGTTGAAGAGAATGACTCCAAAGTTGGGATCGGTTGTTGAAGGAGTTCAGTTGAGTCAGTTGGATAATGCAGGCAAGAATGATTTAGCTAGACTTATAAGTGATCGTGGTGTTGTTGTGTTTAAGAAACAAGATTTCAACAGCCTTGGTCCTGAGTTTGCCGTCAACTTTATGAAGTATTTTGGTACTTTGCATACACACCCAACATCGGGAGCACCAGAAAACCATCCAGAAATGCACATCACCTTCCGCGGTGCATCACAACAGGAGATTGATTCTGTATTTAAAACTACATCAAATTCCATATTGTGGCACAGTGACTGTTCCTACTCCCTCAATGCCTTACAATTGACGTTATTTTCATGTTTGCAACTTCCTGAAAGTGGTGGTGACACTTTATTTGCAAATACAGTTGAAGCCTATGACAGGTTGAGTTCAGCAATGCAAGAAAGATTGGAAGGACTTCACATTTTACACTCTTCAGTTGAGCAAGCTGAAGCCAACAAGAAGACTGGTGGAATCACGCGAAGAGAGCCCGAAACTAATATTCACCCTATCGTTAGAGTTAACCCAACCACAGGAAAGAAACACCTTTACGTGAATAAAGAGTTTGGCAGGCGCATTGTTGAACTCAAAAAAGAGGAATCGGACTACTTGTTGAATTTTCTTTACGACCACATTGAAAGGGCCCAGGATTTACAAATTAGAGTGCTGTGGGAGCCAGACACAATTGTATTTTGGAACAATGGAACCACTGTCCACACTCCATGCGTTGATTTTGACGAACCAGTTATTAGGCATGCTTATAGGATCAGTGCTATGGGAGAAAGGCCAGTATCTGATTTAAAATACTTGAATGATCCAAATTATTTGAGTGAAAAGTACAAGGAATTGAATATTTAGGTGGTGTTGTTTATTGTTTGTTGTTGGTTTTAAAAGGTTTAATTTGAAAAGTGAAAAAAGAAAAGAAAAAGGTTTTACTTTATTTTTAGTTTGGTTTTTTATAGTTCACGGTATATAGGTGAGGCTGTTGGTGGGTTTTTGGTTGATTCAAAGACCTACTCTTTCCTTTCCTTTCTTTGATGCAAATATATATACATATGTACATACATAACGCATCTGTTGTTTTGACGCGTCTTAATTGTTTTGCGCGACAATCACCACGAAGAAAAATAAATTTTTTCTTTCTTCCTCTTCTTTTATTTTGACCGCAAAGTTTTACAATTTCACTTGATTCAAGACTGTTTTACTGTTTTCAACAAAAAGGGTGTGCAGCATGAGTTGGAATTCAAATGATGCGACGAATAGGACTCACAATGGGTCAATGTCTGCTACACCTCAAAAGCAGAATTATGTACAAGTTCCTTCGTCATCTCCCATAGTCATAAAGTCATCTCCTTCAGATGCAGACCACACCACCACACAGCCAAGTTTTAATACCAAAATAGACGAACAAAAACAGATGGAGATTGAAAAGAAGCGACAAAGGATTCGTGAACACAAGGATTTTCCGCTTATAAGGAAAAGGTTTTACTACTTGAGCGAGAGCGACATATTCAAAGGATTTGTCAAGGGCAAGGGCATTCTACGTGATGTGACAAAATGGTTGGAAGACAATTATAGTTATAGCGATTACTTGAAGAAACAGAAAGCTGAAAGAGAAAGCAAATTAAAACAGGAAGAGTCAATGAAACAGAAACTCAGAGAAGACCAACTAAAAAGAGAATATGAAGCAGGGTTGAAAAGAAAGGATTATGAACAAGAGGAGCAAAATCAAGCTCAAAGCACCAGTGCTGCTTATGATGATGAAGATGAGTCCCCCGTTAAAATGAAAGGAAGAGCCCGCGTCAAACTTGAAGAGGCCTCACCAAGCAAGGAAGACCAACTGTCAACTAAAGTAGAAATCAAAGCAAGACAGTCTATACTTAACAAGTACAAGAGCCAGGGCCCCAAACAAACCACTCTTGAAAGATTTGGAAGATTAGGTTCATTATCGAATGATAATACGAAGAAGAGGAAATTGGTCAGGGGCTCCTTGTTCGACAAGTCACATTCGCCAAGCTCAGCTTCGGTTTCACCAGTTCCCGTACCAAGTTCATTGAGCGCCAAGTTCAGTTTTGACAATAACAACCATAACAATAGTGCAACTAGTTTGAATAGCAGTGAAACCTCTTCACTAGTGGATGAATTGGAGGAGCTGGAAAGACGAATTGCAGAGAATCTGAAGTTGGCAAAACTACGAAAACAACAACTACTGAACCACAATCAACATAGTGGTAGCAGTAAAAGGGACCCAATACAAATTAGTGATGACGATGATATATTGGGAGACGATGATGCAAGCGACTCCATGTCGGATGAAGATCTCGACATGAATGCTGATGAAGGACTCACCTCCATTGACGGCAAAATCCTCGAATTTATCAACAATGCACCAATTGAGGATTTAATTGATATATCAAATATTGAACCAGAAACAGCCGAACTTGTCATCTGCTCGCGTCCTTTCAACACGATTTACGATATTTCAGAAAACGACTTCACCAAAGAAGAGACAAAGAAAAACAGCCGAAAGAAAAAGATGGGAATGAGAATAATCGAGCAGACAGAATCGAGCTTGAAAGGATATAAAGCGATTGATTCTTTGATTAAAAAATGTGCCGAGTATGGTGACGCAATATCGTCCCAAATGAAGGAATGGGGTGTTTCGCAAACAGGAGAAAATGGAGAACTTGATTTGGTTGATCTAGACCCCTTGCAGGACAATGAAATTGAAGAGAACGGAGACGACGATGATGTCGTTATTGTGAAGAAGAAGGGGTTGAAATATATCAAACATAAACCAGCCTTGTTGGATGACGAGATTACGTTGAACAATTATCAGCAAGTTGGACTTAATTGGATTAACTTGCTTTACCATAATAAGCTTTCTTGTATTCTAGCTGATGAAATGGGGCTAGGCAAAACCTGTCAAGTCATTGCGTTCATGGCACATCTAAAACAAGCTGGCGAAAAGGGTCCTCATTTGGTGGTTGTCCCTGCCTCGACTATTGAAAATTGGATTCGTGAGTTCAACAAGTTTTGTCCTGGTATAAAGGTCCAAGCTTATTATGGATCCCAAAAGGAAAGAGAGGAATTGAGATACGAGTTGCAAGATGCTGAATACGATGTATTGGTCACGACTTATTCATTGGCCTGTGGTTCACCTCATGATGCCAAGTTTTTAAAACACCAAGATTTTAATGTTGTGGTTTATGACGAAGGACACTTGTTGAAAAACTCGCAATCGGAGAGGTATGCCAAGTTGATGAAACTAAAAGGTCGATTTAGGTTATTGTTGACAGGAACTCCGTTGCAAAACAACTTGAAAGAATTGGTGTCACTTTTATCATTCATCTTGCCTCAGGTGTTTAACGAGAAAAGAGATGATCTTGTGGGGATTTTCCGTCAAAGGGCAAGTGCCGTTTCTGAAAATGGCAAATCAACATCAAAGGAGTATAATCCGTTGTTATCTATGCAAGCAATCAAGAATGCTAAAATGATGATGACACCTTTTGTGTTGCGAAGAAGGAAAGACCAAGTTTTGCAGCATTTGCCAGCAAAGTGCCATGAGATCGTGCATTGTAAATTGACTACTGATCAAGCTCAGTTGTACAACAAATTTCTTGACGATGGCAGAAGAATAAGGAAGGAGAGAGAGAGGAGAAAGAATATGTCAGGTGCTGAGGTTATCAAATTGAACAAATTGGATCCTATTCCAACATCATCAAATGTATTGATGCAATTGCGTAAAGCTGCATTGCATCCATTACTATTCCGAGTCATCTATGATGACAAGAAGCTCAAACTGATGGCGAAAGCTATAATGAATGAACCTGAATATGTTGAAGCCAACGAGACATTTATCTATGAGGACATGACCGTGATGTCAGATTTTGAATTAAACAACTTGTGCATTAAATTTCCACACACTTTGAGAAAATGGCAGTTGGATGAATCGTCATTTTTAGATAGTGGCAAAGTTGTTGAGCTAAAATCTATTCTCGATACCATCATCAACAACAAGCGAGAAAAGGTGTTGATATTTTCCCTTTTTACACAAGTTTTGGACATTTTAGAAAAGGTTCTTTCCATCTTCAAGTATAAATTCGTCAGACTTGATGGTGGTACCAAGGTTGAAGAAAGACAAGAAACAATTGATATGTACTATGACGACGACACAATTCCAATCTTTTTGTTGTCGACCAAAGCAGGTGGTTTCGGTATCAACTTAGTGGCTGCCAATAATGTCATAATATTTGACCAGTCCTTCAACCCTCATGACGATAAGCAAGCCGAGGATAGAGCTCATAGAGTAGGACAAACCAAGGAAGTGACGGTGTACAAATTCATTACCGAAAAAACGGTCGAAACTAATATCTTGATGATTGCTGAAAACAAGTTGCAGTTGGATTACAGCATCTCATCAAATGAAGCTACGGATAGTAGCAAGTTTGAGGAAAACGCAGCATCCATATTTGAGAAGATATTATTTGAGGAGAGAAATAGTTGAAACGGTCAAGTACCCAGACAAGCTTTTATATAAGTGGTAAATAATGGAAATAAGCTCACCATCAATTCTGTTTAAGCTGAGTTAAACTGCTTGTCGATTCTCCTCTATGATAGGCGTGCACGTGCCACTCTTTACATTTTTCGATAGCTATGTTGGATTATGTATCTTTCTGATTTATATTCCCGGAAAGTGACAACTGCTCGCTGCAACGCCAAAGTAATCCTTCCAGTTACCTGTCCCATTGTTCAAATTACTTCCAATATGGGATACATCTTTGGCTTACTATATCTTCAAGGATTTCCTTTGCTCTTGACTTATCAGAATAGGTTGACCTTTGTTAGCAATTTACCGCAGGATTCAACTTGTCAGCTTGGAAAAAGTTTGTTGAAGATTGCGTTGTACCCTAACCCACCGCGCTGATTCAAAGAAGTTATCATCAAACAGATCACACAAGGGAAAGGATCCTCTAACAATGTTGGCAGCTTCCTTCCCGCCAAGATATCACCTTCTCATATTGACACC